AATTCGTGTGTCCTATATGGATAACAATATCGGAAAGATGGTTTCTCTAGAGAGAGAGGGAGCTTAAGCCTCATATGCATAAGATGTAATTTTATCTTAGATTTAACTGAGCTTCTTATGAAAAGAAACATTGATGATACCTTCGAAGACTCCTACAGAGAAATTGGTTTATTTTAGAGAAGCGGTTGCCATAGAGATTTCGGGTTGATTCCCTTTCTAGTGAAATAAGTCTCATTTGGCTCTCAAAGTTCTGGATGTAGCCCTTTTGGAGTGAACCACATAAATATTTTTGTTTTTATAGTATGTGTTTCATACTTTATTTGTCAAATATTGACCCATCGGGTTTATTGCTTCTACACGCTTAACAAGTGGTATCAGAGCCTGGGAGTCTGGTTTGGGGTTTTTGGTATGGCAGTAAAAGGTTTGTATGCAAAGTTCGAGGTTAAGAAATTAATAGCAAACATTATTTTTCAACAAGAATGATGAAAAAATTTATTTGGCAAAAGATGAAGAATCTATGAAGCTATCTAATTGATGTTGGAATGGTAAGCAAATGATTTTGATATCAAGGTGGAGATTGTTGGATTTGGTGCTATCGAAAATCACCATCATTGAAATATTCATAAATTATATGGAATTGAGATATTCCTATATTATGTGAGATTGAAATATTCCCTTAAATATTGAAATTAGTATTGATAAGTTTCCTAAAAGAAATAGAAATCCAAAAAAATTAGAACTCTTGGATTTATTTATTGATCTTCTGAGATATATGCAATATCGATAAGATATTTCTTATTTACTATGGACTCCTAATCTTATATATATGGGATGAAAGTGTAGAGAATTCGTATACTCTATTTGGATCACCATATCAGAATGATGGTTCCGATAGAGAGAGAGGGAGCTAGAGCCTCATCCATAATATGCAATTTCCTCTTAGATTTAAGAGAGCTTTTTATAAAGAGAAACATTGATGATGCTTCCGAAGACTCCTACAGATAAATTGGTTTTTTGTAAAGAAACGGTTTCCATAAAGATTTTCGGTTGATTCCCTTTCTAGTGAAATAAAATTCAGAGTTTTGGAGGTAGCCCTTTTGGAGTGAACCACATAAATATTTTTGTTTTTATGGTATGTTTCATATTTTATTTATCATACTTTATTTACCAAATATTAACCAATCGGGTTTATTGCTTCCATGTGAACAACAAAAGCAAGGTTCCTCTGGTTTTGAAATACAAAGAAAACGAGGAAAACATCACAAATAAGATTGCGTTCAATGAGCCTGAACATATTGATTCTTTATAAAACAATATTGATTCTTTATAAAACAAAACCCTTTTGGGTTAAACTCGAAAACCTGAAGGAGGTTTGATGAATGGCCTGGTTTTGAGAATGTGGGTATCTATCTCAATATTGGTTTTCAATTCACTAGTGAGGCAGCACTTGATTTAAATCCATATTACAAAACCGAAATGGGAAACGAAACTAATTCTCTCCCTAACTTCAAAAGGATAATCAAATTATGAAAGAAAGAGTCTCAAGAATGCGTCTTCAGACGTTTAGAAGGAAGAGAGAGAGAGGAAAGGAGAGAGTTACTCGAGCTGTTGATGTGATGAAGAGTCTCTACTAATGGGAACATTATATGGAGAGAACAAGCCTGCTACGGACCTGGGACTACCCGCTTTTCCCTGCAAGTTTTCATGCATTAAATGAAATATAAAAAGCAAAGAGACAAAGCTTGTGATGCTGTATTTGAGAGAGAAAGAGAGCACCGAAAAATGCAGAGAAATGTGGATCAAAGAGTAAGCCGAAAAGATGGGTGACGCTCCATTTCTGAGATAGAGAGAGGTGAGAGGGAACAGAGGGAAGAGAGATGTTTGGATATACAATGGAAGAGAGTGACAAAAACAAGATAGAGAAAAAAGTTTGAGATTAGAGAAAAGAGATTGGGTTTAAAAAGTGGACATCTTTTTTGTATTTGTTTAGGTTATAGAAAAGAGATTGGGTTAAAAAAGTGGACATCTTTTTGGTATTTGTTTAGGTTATAAAATAATAAAAAGGGTTGGAAGATATTTTTTTAATCCTCAAATTTATTAATAAATGAAAATGAAATATAAGACTGAAAAAACTTATATAAATATGCAACCTTGTAACGTAGAACTACATATGCATTTCAAAACGCCCTTGAAAACTATAGTTTTAATGTTGAAAAACCCTTTAATTCTCAACATCGAGATGAATGATAATGAAAAATAAAAAAATTAAGTCTAAAAAAATAATGCATGCTACATCAATCTACTTCCAAAAATTTTAAATATTTATAGATCTACTTGATTTTAACCATTTTTAAAATTTAAAATTTTATAATTAGATATAAAAATAAAGTTCGAGATAATCCTAATAACATTTTACATGAAAATTATAAGTAATGATCCTGAAACCTTCCCAATCACCATTAAATATGGCTCGCATACTCTAAAATTATATACCATGATAAAATTTGAAGGTACATCCCACTACAACTACATATGCACCCTTATGCCAACTGCACCCCATATATATATATATATATATATATATATATATATAGTAGATATGGTGATATTTTTCCAAAAAAAAATTAAATAAGATTGTAACTTAAAAATGTAAAAAAATAAAGATGCACCTAAATAATTCACAATAAAAAGTTGATTTGAAATTAAAAAGATGTATGAATATAGAAAAAAGAATATTTCGAATTCCAAAAAAATAATGCATTTTGTAACACATTATCTGGATGGTTTATTTTTAATATTTTCATGCGATTATAAATCTAATTCATTTGAACCATTATTTTAAGCTTACTATAAAATTTGATGGTGCAACGATGGTTTAAGGTTGCAACCTTTCAAAAAGTAAAATGCACCTTCAAATAGTATACATGAAATGTTGTTTTCATACCGAAAATCTTAATGAAATTCTCAAAATCCATTTTTATCTCTAATTAAATAATTATAAAATTTAGAACTACAAAATTATTATAGATAGGACCAATGATTTAAAAAACGGATCGGTGACCCGGATCGGGTTTCCAAAAAACCTATCCGAATCGGCGAATCGACGATTCGGATCAAGAATAGGGTGAATCGATCAGAATAAAGCTTAAAAAAAATTCGAAAAAATTATTAAAATTCATTATAAATATTGTTTTTTAGGAATTCAATAAAAAATGAAGGTACTCCATTAAGAATTTTCATGTTTTTGAATGAATATACGAATATTGATATGTTCTTTCCCTGCATGAACCGCCATTCAGCATTTAATTTATAGTATTTCATGCTCATCCCTACACTGTTACTGTTGGGACTCGATATGTGAATAATATGGCTAGGATAGGGTGGCCTCAGAATCATCATCTCTCTCATTTTCTCTTTGAATAATATGGATTAAAAAAAAAAAAACAAATTTTCAAAAAAATCGATCATGGATTAAAAAAAAATCACAAATTTTCAAAAAATTCTATTATGGATTACAAAAAAAATTCGATCATGGATTAAAAAAAAAAAATCACAAATTTTCAAAAAATTCTATT